GCGCGCGTTTCCTTCCTGGCCTTCAGCCCCCCTCCCCTACTGCTGAGGGCGTCAGTGGCCGAAATGGACCGACAGAGAACATCCAAAGTTTTCTCGAGTTTTGCTGAGAGGATTCAAGGAACCTCCCCATCGTCTGGTGGAGTGGAGGGACCGATTGCGGGAGGCGTAGCTGTTTGGACCTCAGTTGAGCGTCAAGCCTGGTAGTGGGATACGCTTCAGAGGCATGGAGGAGCGTCCAACATGGGCTGCTTCATGTCTTCCCCCTGACATGCTTTCGTGGGACTTGCTTACAGAAGAGTTTGTGGGCTTTGTTTGGCTTCATATTTAGTAATCACTCTGCACGGACAGGAGAAATTCTGTTGCTGTATTTAACCTTGTTTCCTGAGAGAGACCTATTTTCACAGTCTTAAGTGTCACCAAGACAATTCCCAGCAGGCCGGGCCCAGTTGCATAAGCAGACAGGCATGGAGGGGGACAGGTTGTGTAATGGCAGTGACATCATAGGTGGGTGTGGTTGAAGTTTTATAATATACTGTTGAGAGAGGGTGCAAAGATGGGAGGTAGGGGCATGGTTTTAGACTATCCTATGTTGTTCACACGCAGTATGTCTGGTACCATGAGCGCTTCAGATACAGTCAGTTTTTCAGAGTTTAGTCTTTGTAGAGGGAGTCAAATTTGTGTGATTGATATACCTAGATGGATCCACTGACAGATTCCTTTGATGTTTTTATTCGACTATGGATTTTAACACCTGGTGATTTGTAGGTTCCATTTTCATTTGTGCCATTTTATTTCTGTTCAGAAATTTAGGAATTAATATTTTTACAGATTAAGTGTGTTACGTTTTGTATAGTTGTCTGCAGCGGAGAAAAAACCCAAAGCTTGCATAAGTCTAATCCTTCCAATCTCTTCTGGGGAGATACGTTAGATCTAGTTCCAGAATAAACTGTTTTCAATGTAGATGGGATTAAATCTCAGATACATTTTATATCCCTTTTGGAATCTAATTTAAAGAGGTTCAGTTGTGGCCTTCAATTCTTTGTTATTTGCCCAGGTGTTTCCAAAATGTGGGGTATGGGATAGATGTGACCTGAGAAAGTGGCTGATCTATTTTAAATCTTGGAACTGTAAGAAGCAGACTTTTTTTCTTTGTGTGTTCTGAATGACAGCATTGGCTCATACAAGCCACACAGACATGGAGTCAAAACTCAGTGGCCTTCAGGGTACAAACTGATGGATCCATTATTGATCACAAATGTTTACAGGGGTTCTGTTTCATGTTTCAAGATTGTTTTGAAAGAATAAAAGAGAAAGTTATTTCTATAGTTTCTAGTTTCTTTCTTTTATGGATTCAGCAATACCATTTAGATATCTATGGAGGAAGAATTTTGATTCCTTCTATTGTGAAGCTACATCTTAACTATTCCCAAATTTTAAAACCAGAATTTATCAGATGCGGTGCTTATCCACAATTTTATTATTCCAATTTAGTACATCCACTAGATTTAAGTGCGAGAAGCTCAGTCTGAGATCCTTTGTACAGCTATTTCTTGTGTCTCCAGTCCTGAGAACTATCAATATTTCAATTATGTTCCAAGCATTCTGGTGAAGATACTAAAGAACTTCATGAATCAGAATGCAGAGGTACATTAAATACCAGTTTAGAGCTGTGGGCTCACAACTACAAATTGAGGATGATTTCAGGCTAATAGAGAACTAATTAGGAGCTGCTGGTATACTTTCTGTCTTTCTCCAGGACACGAGTTCTTGAAAACACTTAGAGGTGGAAAAGACATAGTATAACAAACGTATTCATGTTTAAAATCATTCATGCTCTGTTTCAGTGTTTCCTCACTGCTAGTTCATCTCTGTTTCTTTTTAATGCAGATAGAGAGTTAAAAAATATTATAAATGTAAATCTTATGTCTTAAATAAGGCATTAGCACTAAACCATTACTCATTTAGCATCTTTTCATAACTTTCTTACATTGCTTGAAACATCTGAAAGAGAAGTATTTGCCATGGTGCTAAAGTGACTTTTGAAAAACATAAGGAATGTTAACATACATATGGTTAATATAAGTCCTTACATGGGTTGAAATGAAATAGTTTAGTTAAAGGAAGTCTATTGGATTAAAATCCAAGTGCAGGTTGTCTTTAATCCTGAAACACACAGCTAATAGGCTTGAGTTTGGTCTGAATCACAGGGTGTTCCTGCCGGAGTGGGCCTCAGGAGGTCTGTTGACCAATCAATCTCCCCTTCAAAGCACAATAAACAGAGTTCAGAGCAGTTTGCTTAAGGTTTTGTCCAGCTGGATCACTAAAACCTACAAGGATGAAGATTCCACAGCCTTCCTGGGCAACCTGCTCAGAAGTTAATTATCCTCTTAGTGACAAATTTTCTCCTTATTTCAAGTCAGCACTGCCCTTGTTTCAGTTTATAACCATTGTCTCTTGTTCCCATGCACTTCAGTAAAGAATCTTCTAGGTAGCCTCCTCTTGGATTCTGGAAGGCTATTGGGTTCTCCCAAGGCCTTCAGGAATTGTTTTCCACTAAACAAGGCCATTTCTCTCAGCCTCCTCTTGTGGGTTGTGTGTTCCAACCCTTGATCACTGGGGTGACCTTATAGTACTATATTAATAAACACTGTGTCCTGAAGTTTTTCTGCATAGTGCTTGTAATGTGCATATCTCTTCTTTTGAAGAATTTGGTATATTTTTAAGAACCATACAAAAAGCATGCAGGATCAGACCAGAGATGGTCCATTTATTGGTATGCTTATGCTGACAGTAGCCAGGAGCAGATGCCTTGGTAGTAGTATAAAAGAACTCAAAATGAGTGGGGTTTTGTGTCTACACCTTTGTATACTTTCCTATTAATGTAATAATAACTGGTACGCACAGTTCTGCACTGAAAGTACTTGATGTCTTTTTTTATTAAAATGATTTGTCTTTGGATATGCTAGAAGTGAGTGATTTCTTTATTTACAATATATAGGGTTACTGAAATTGAAAATTCAAGTACAAGTGTTACTGCTCTGTTTAGTCTTTGGTCTAAGGATTTGAAATAGTTTTGCATCCTCCCTTTATGTGGCAAACGTTAAAATACATACTGAAACATTGCAAAATGATGTTTTCACAATTACAAAGCCTAGAAATTAAATTATGGTTGCAGAATTGGACATATAAATTTAGATCTTCTGGTTGCGCAAATGTTTAGACTCAATTTGTTTTATTGTTGATCATTCATTGGCAGTGTTTGTGTGTGTTCAGCAGCAGAGTTGGGGTCCCAGTTCCTTGTTGTAGCTCTTTGTTTGATACCAGTTCTATTGGGACCACGCTTTTCTCTTTGAAAAAGAAATGGACAATGTCCACCTGCTGTAGACTTGAACTCCCATTTTTATCTTTGAACTACCCCTCACTCTCTCTCCAGAAAGGAAGGCTAGGGAGTTCCTCAGGTCATCTTCTATGCCTGAAAGTCTGAAAAAGATGAGCTCCCTCTGATCATGTGCAAATAGGTAGCTTATCGGAGAACAAAGACCTGCACTTATTGCTACCTCTGAAGAAAAGAATTTCGTTTAATACTAACTCTGCTGGACACCAAGGAGTCAAATACAACAGAATAAATGGTCTGAAGAGTTTGATCTGAGCTCCCCCTTACTAGGCTATAATAGTCACAAAATGCGAAGCCACAGGCAAGCAGGCTTCAGAGTTGTTCTGCTTGCAGAATTACCTGTTTAAGTTAGGCAATTTCCCAGACTTCTGTTAATACAAACATTTTATTATGTCTACAGTAAAATAAAAAACAAACAAACCAGGTTTGGGAATATTTGTATTTGAAGGGAAACAGTTTCAGCTGTGAAATCTTATGTCAGTTTTGATTTTCTTAACCCTTTCTTTTCCATTAAGGCCTTTTTACATGTAGCATTGTGGATTTAAATACAAAGCAAAATGTTGGAATACATGGAAACATTGACCAGTCTGGCTTTCAAATGTAAAACAAGCTAATGTTAGAAATTATGAAAATTTAAACCAGACATTTCAAATAGACTAAGATAGAATATCAAATTGAAATTATCCCCCCCCCAAGAAAATCTTGTTGAAACAAACTTAATACTAAAATTAAATAGTTCTTTACAGTAGACCAATGTTCGACTTTATGGAATAAAAACCACAGGTGTATTTAAAAAAGTCAAGAGCAAAGCAGTGTGCTGACCTTTTTTTCAAGCAACAGCTACAGTTAGTTGTGTTATGAAAACCACAGTTGTAGTGGCATGGAGATGGGTGTACTTCCCATTTAGAGGCTGCTTTACTAAAAGTGCAAAATGCTGTATGTTGGACATGTGAACTTGTCTTGACTGAACACACACTAATGTTTCCCCATTGCAGAATTTCCATTAATGTAACTCCTTACAACAGGGCTGCCGACTGGTGTTAAAGGCTTTCTGGTATTTGCTATCTCTTTTCAGACCACATAGCAATAAAGCCTACTTCTGGTACTTACCAGATGGATACCATTGTGAAAGTGGCATCTGTATCTCCAGCCATAGTTGGAAGAGGTTGGATGTTATAAAAACAAATGACAGTGTAAAGAAAAACTTCAACATTTGAAATCAAACTTCATAATGCTTAGACTTTTTAATAAAAGCGCAGTGAATTCCCTGATTTCTGTGGTTTTGAATGGATGTACTGTAAAGCTAAAGTCTATTTAGTCCTCAATTTTTTCTTGTCACAGCAGTACTGAACAATACTTTATTCAGTCAGCCTCAATGTTAGATTTTTTTTAAAAATATATTTTCTTGTTGCTGCAAGATACAATAGAGGGTACAAAATTTGATCTTTAGCTTGAAAGACATGAGCCTGGAATTACTGCCACTTTTATTACCCAAACACTGAGGGGGGTGGAGAATGTACTCAGTAATTTTGAAAGTATGGTACAAAAAAGTATAGTTATGACATATCACTATGAAAGCATACCTAATTAAATTACAGATTTCTGAATTATTAAAAATGTTACTTAATTTTTGTCTTCAGATTCCAGTGACTTGATGCTAAGAATTTACAGAGCTGAGTCATATGTTGGCCTCCAGGAATATAAAACAGCCATAGAAGATCTAAATTTTGTTATTTCTAAAATGCCAAATTGGCCAGAGGTAAGTTAATAGGAACTCTTCATTTTTTCAAAATCTGTGTTTGTTTATAAAACTAATGAATTCTAATTTATACTTGCATCAAGTTAAGAACCGAGGTCAGCTACCTTAAACGTTATCTTGTAAGGCATGCAGAATGCTAAAAGGTATCTTAGAATAGTTGCTTATGAGACAGGCTGCTGATGAGTACAGGAGGTTAGAGTTGATTGACAAATCCACTTGGAACTGTTAATTTAGTTTTCATCCAAAACTTCAGGTATTTTTCATATCACAAGAAATGCTGTCTTTGGATGAAGGATTAAATGCAGTAGAACTGACTTCTTGGGAAGTATTATGAAGTACTTTTATGCTGTCTGTAGTTATTGATTATTTCTTTATAAGAACACTTTTATGTGTTCTCTTAGAAAAGTTATTAAATATTTACAAACTTAACTTCAGCTTAATGTTATTTGACTGGATGGTTGGCTGAAATTGTGCAGCCAGCTTTAATTGCTTGAAAGCAGAATTTCTGAGGCCCATATATTTGGTTGATGTAATTGAGTTTTAAAATTTCTTATGCTATGTACAAGTTTGTCCTTTTAAAGTTCTGCACTTCCCTGAAGTGTTTATACTTTGATTGTATTTCCCAAAGTCAGAGCACTTTAAGCATTATCTCTTCCTTGAGAATATCACATGAGATGAGTGAGCACTCTTGCCAGTCAGGACTAGAATTCTTGGCTCTATGTTAAATCAACATTTCTCTCATAGTTTTTGAGTTTTATTGGTAAAACAGTTTGTTATATAAATAGGACAACACAGTTTTCTTTTCCAAAGGCTACCAAAGAGCCAAAAAATATTTAGTGCAAGCAGTAAATTATTTTGCAGTAGTATTGGCTAAAAAAAATGTAAGCATGTGTTTTGGGCCGTTTTTAGTGGCTCCAGTACTTGGAGTTGGGATAGTTTATAGTGATGTAACCTGTAACAGCTGGGGTTTGGGGTTTTTGTTTATTTGTTAATTTTTATTAAGATAAGGATACTTCGCTGTTTTAGTTTGGAAAGTTTTTCTTCAAAAAGCCTGAAAAAACTCAGTGGGAACTGAGCTTTACAAATAGTGCAGGCAGCTGGGGAGTCACTGGCCTTCAGATCTGTAAGATAACTGCATATTGCAGGGCTGTCTAAACTCTGAGCACAGCAGGAGCAGCAAGATCTTGCCACACAAGGGGAAATAGCTGCTGCTGTCTTGATCTCTTCTGTGTTCAGTTCCATGGCTACTGTAAATTCAGAGAGCATCCTGCTTTTCACCTCTCAGCATTGGTAGTACTGTACTTTTTTCTGTATGTTTGGAAAGAAACCTTACTTCACTTAACTGAGCTTGGTTTGATGGATTCCTCTAACAATTCTTATCTCTGTAGCAAAGTAAACTGTCTGTAAGAGGAAGATTAGCATACTTTCCTTCTTCAGGAAACGCCTAAATGAAATTGCTCAAATCCATCAAAGGTGATGCATGCCCTCATCTGACAGTCTTGTTTAACAGACTCTACTGTTACTGGCAGTCATTCCGTAGAATCAGCACTCTGGGTTTTGGGATTTTGGGGTTTGGGGTTTTTGTTGGGTGGGTTTGTTTTGTGGTTGTTTTTTTTTTAAATTCAGTTTTCTGGCCCATTATCCAAAATCTTATATACAACTAGATGTTGTTTTATCTAAGTTTTGTTATATAACTTGTTTTTATCTAACTTGTATTTATATTACTGCAAATGCAACTTTTTAAAATTGAGATGTCGGATAAGGGACTTCTTAGTGCCAACGTCATATAGTTATAGGCAGGTTCAGCAAAATTCAGTAGTTTTTTCTCCCCTTTTTTATAGTAAACAAATACTTTTTTTCCCTACCTGCTGTCTAGTGTTCAAGAACAAAATATAGTTGGAGGAAGCAATTCCAAAAATGCATTGCTTTGTGTTAAGAATATAGATTAAGATGTACGTAAGGGATGTATGGTTGTGTGGATCGTTTTCTTTGTAGTTACCCTTCTCCTGGAGGCTGGAACCGTAAAGCTTTTTAATGAAACAAAGGGCAAAACCAGTATCCTGTAAGCTGTTGTATGAGGTTATGTAATAATTTGCATTTCATGTCCCTCTTCTTCCCCTCCAAAGGCTCGCAGAAAGGGAAGATTAAAGCTTTTTGTGAATTCAGCAGTAGTCAGATTTTTAACCCTTCATGTAAGCCAAAACAAATTAACTGGAGGGAGACTAATGCCAGCCTATCTCATGATTCTTTTCAAATGCTGTAGGGGATGTACGTTAGACAAGGCATATAGATCATCCATGCTGTGCACAGCTGAACTTTGTTAAAGAGCTACATTCTTTTTTTTGTTGAGAGTTCTGTTTCTAACTCTGATGTAATGCCTGTAAGCTGAATACTGCAGTTCTATATGCTCTCTAGAAGTGTCTTGATGGTATCTGTTTTTCAGGTCTACTTCCAGAAAGGAAAAGTGCTGCAAGACTCTGGCTTTGTAGGTGATGCCTTACAACTGTTTCTACAGTGCTTAGCCCTTGATGAGGACTTTCTTCCAGCCAAGCTAGAAGTAGAAAGGGTAATTTATTTATGAAACTGGATTACTATCTCTGACTTGGTTCCTTTATAAAGCTTCCATTATAGTAGACTTTGAGCATCTAAAAATCTTCAGTACATACAGAGAAGGTTCAGGTAGCAGATTAGCTCCTTTCAAGATATATCATACTATGTTGAAGAGATAATCCTAACATACAACTTTTAAGTACACATTTCAAAGTACCTATGCTTCTGAAGTTACTAAATGAAAATCTAGAAAACTGGAAAGCAGGCAGCAAGTTAAATATTCTATGTTGAACTCTTTTGTGCCCAGAGCACAACATTTTTTCTTTGTTAATAAAAAGTTACATTGAAAAACTGCATGATAATGAATTGTAATGTCTAACTCTGTTCAAAGAGCTCACTCACTTGTAGTGGAAAAGGTTTCTAGATAAATTTCTTTAGTAATATAGATATGTAGATTTATACTTGTTCTCAACTGATCTTTCCCAGTTGCTGCTTAGATAAAGCTCTATTTATGAGGATAACTTCATATAGATTAAATTCTTATTTTTAGTATGTAGTTTTATGGAAAAGGATCTAGACATAGCTTTATTATTGTTATGAACATTTAGCTGTTTGTTTTCTAGACATTGTGTGATGTGCTGTCACCAGAGAAGTTAGGAGAGAGTCTGAAGGAATCTGCTTGGAATTCACCACATATTCGAAATAAACCTTTTATACTTGGTTCTGAGGCGACTGAATCTTACTGCAACTTACAGCTTTGTCCTGAGCAGGTAATAAAAGCTATAGGATAACTTTTCTCTTTTGCTGATATGCAAACATCAGATGTTCCGATATCTTTCTTTATCATACTTACTTTCCAGCCTAAATGCTGACTTTCTGTAATTGGCTAAATTAGAAGAAAAGAACTGTGGGTTTGGGAGTAATGTATTTTCATTGGGAGCGTTAAGACCCCTCATTCTAGTGAACAACTTATTAGAAGGTACTGAGATTTCATATTAGTGACTTCAAAATAGAGAGAAATACAGTCTTTCTTCTCTTTGAAGCGGATGAAGATTTTTAAATTGTTAATACTAAGCAAATTTGAATACTGTCTTGATATATCAAATTCCCCTAGTTAATTAATGAACTAACTGTGGGTATGTCCTGGTTTTAGCTGAGATAAAGTTAATTTTCTTCCTAGCAGCTGGTATAGTGGTGTGTTTGGGATTTAGGATGAGAATAACGTTGATAACACGCTGATGTTTTAGTTGTCGTCAAGCAGTCAGGGCCTTTTCAGCTTCTTATACTGCCCTGCCAATGAGAAGGTGGGGGGTGCCCAAGAAGCTGGGAGGGGACACAGCCAGGGCAGCTGACTGAAACTGACCAAAGGGATATTCCATACCATGTGTCATGTTCCATATATAACTGAGGGGTGGGCCAGGAGGA